CCATTTTCTTTTTAAATCATCAAGATCACCAGATTCTCTTAATAATAATATATTAATATCTAAATTTTCAGCATATAACCATAGCTTAGGTACAGCAATACCAAATGCACTCTGGTCAAAATCTGTGCCTACTATCGTTAAATTACAGTAGAAACTTGAAGTTGCGTATTCTAAAACACCAGCATCCATAATAGCTGCATCAATTATATTATTTATTAAATTAGTATATATGTCTTTTTCTTGTTGTAATGGATAAAAATTTCGAGTTCCTTCCGAAACTTCTCGTAAATAATACTCTTCAATTGATGAATCAGCAACAATACCAATACGGCTATATGATAATTTTCCACTTTTAATATCATCAATTCCAGAAATAACATCTTTTGTTTTTGAGGTCGTTAAATCAGATGCTAAATTAGCAGTATATGTCGCTACGATGACCAAACTTAATATATATAAACCAGTGGTTACTAAGCGTCCAGCAGCTGTTGTTACAGTAAAATCTGCACCATAGCCTACTATAGTTCCAAAAGAATACCATGCACTCATTGCACCTGAACTAATGAATGATCTATGTTGCAATGCTGGATTATCTTGTCGCTCAAATAAACAGATTAGAAATCCAGAAAATAATGTAGATACTAAAAGAACTATCCAAAGTTTAAGTGATAAAGGTCTTAAAAATGCCAAAAGATCCATTTCGTCAGCAGGTTTTATTCGAGTAATAACACGTAAAGAATTATCAAATATTGAACTTGAAAAACTAACTTCTTCTGTTCGTGTCGCAGTGATTGTCATATCAGCTACAACCATATCATAAACACCATTAGCTACTGCATCAATTAAACTATTATACGTTTGATTTGATGGTACCAATATAATCTGAGGAATAAAATTCATTTTACTGACTAACAGATCAATAAGGTCAGGAAAATAACCAATTAACTTTGTAGAATTTTGTCCATATTCATCGATTACATTTTTTGTCATTGTAAAAGGATGTGTTTCAATAACAGCAATTCGTAACGTAACACCGATCATATCCGCACGACCAGTTGGAGGAGATAATGTATTACCAGGCCATAAAATAACATTCGTCTCTGTATATATTTGCCATGTATTAGAATCAGACCACACTAATACTGGAATGACTTGTAAACCATTTGAGAAGGATTGAAAATTTTTTAGAATATAATAATTACCATTTATTCTATCTGTTACATTCGAAGAATATTGTATTAGACCGGATATACCAAGAAATTTAACAGTACTGATTGTATAGATGAATTTATTACCATTGACAAAATGGCGATCAAAACAATATGATGAATCAATAATTGATATATCAGAAAGAGATTTATTTAAAACAGTTGAACAACATTGTTGTAATGCTTGAATTAATGACCAAGTTGCATCAAATGCAAATAATGCATAATAATCTATCATTGTTACTCCAGGAAATGATTCTGGCTCATATTGTTGCCAAATATCACACGCTGCTTTTAACAGTGTTGTATTAATCGATGCATTGACTACACTTCCTGTTACTGGTTCTATACTCAACATTCCAACTAGTTTTTGTTGTACTGTCCAATTAAATGAATTTATTATATCATGGACACTTAATATCCATGTAAATCGTGGGCCAAGTACATCAAAATTAAATGCACTTTCTAATATTAAACGTGTATAAATTGCAGCAGTCCATAATATAACAATTCGAGATGGACTATTAACTAAAATAAGTTTTAAATCACCTCGAATATTTAATGACATAATATCAAAAATAATCATGTTGCTAACTGTTAGTCCATGATTATTAAAGACTTCATTAATTATTCTTGCACCACCAAATCCATATGCATCGTTTTGATAGATGATAATACATGATGTCCAATTATATCGATTAAATAGTTCAACCATTGCAAATGCAGCAGTGTTATCCGATGGAACAGTACGAAAAAATGCTGGATATACCATTCGATCAGATAAATCAGGAGCTGTAGCAGAATATGATATTACAGGTAAATCAATACTATCTGCAAATGTAGCAATCATCTCAGCTTCTCTCGAAAAGGCAGGACCGACAATACCAACAATACTTGAATTTGGTAATATTCGACAAGTACTGCT